TCTTTCTTTCTTTCTTTCTTTCTTTCTTTCTTTCTTTCTTTCTTTCTCATGTTAATTCTCACATAAGTGATAGAGAATCACAATGTAGTTTTTATTTGCAATTCCTTGATAGCTAAGGATATACTTTTTTTCTGTTGGTATTTGTACTAAGATCTCTAAGAAGCATTTTCATTTTATATACCCATTTTTTTACTAGATAATTTTTTGTGTATGTTTAGTTTCTCAAGCTCTTTATAGAGTTAAGATATTAATCCCTTATGCAGTGTACAACCGACAAAAGTTTCCTGTCCTGTAGGCCATTTGCTCTGCTGTCATCATTGCTGTGCAGAGCCTTTCACCTTATGTCGTTCATTTACCCGTGCTAGGGGTTATTTTCTGAGCTTGGAGTCCTCAGAAATCCTTTCCGTGCTTTAAGTCCTTAGCAACGTTTCCTTATTCTGACCTAGCACTTTCAGTTTCATGTCTTTGCTTAAGGTCTTGAATTCAGTTTGAGTTAATTTTTGTACAGGAGGAAAGAAGGCGAAATCTTTGTCAAAAATTAGGTGGCTGTAGCTGTGTGGATTTATTTCTGAGTCCTCTATTTTATTCCTTTTGTCCATATTTTTTTTTAAATGTTGGTACTGTATATTTGCTGTTACTATGGCTTTGTAGTATAATCTGAAACCAAATGATTTTTGTTTATTTGTTTGTTTGTTTGGTCACTATTTCCATGGCTAGTCAAGAGCTTTTATGCTTACATATGAAATTTAGGTCCACCCCATCTATTTCTGTAAAGAATGTCATTGGGAGTTTGATGAAAATCACAGTGAAATTAGATCACTTTTGTTTGTGTAGTTATTTTCACAATATTAACTAGGCAAATTGATGAACATACCATACAGAATTCTTATTGTGACCACTGGATTTTTTTTTTTTTTTTTTTTTTTTTTTAAATTAAGCTTATCAACTTGAGTTTCACAGTGCCCCTGCTTTGGTACTTAAGATAGTTTCACAATTTCAGTACTTAAAACAGTAGGAAACAATTACTACTTTTTTTTGTAGTTATTTTATGAACTTTACCTATATGTGTGAGCTCTTTAAAATTTTTATTTTTCTTGTCCTTGGTCTTTTGAGCCTTTATTTTAGCAAATGTTGCTCTACTTTCCTAAATTTATCTGTAGATTCCCTTGGTAGAAAACAAAGAAATCTGACTGAAATGACATCGATATCGATTCTCTTTCTCATTTCTCTTTCATAGCATCTTTTCTCTGCTATGTGCCCATTTTTTTCTGTTGAATATGTCACTAGCCTATCTTTCACCAAATGCTATTTCCTAAGACTGTATAATACACCAGTTAATATGATCTAGGTATTCAGATTTATTCATGATCTTAGAAATGAGTTAATAATGTTTGTGTTTCCTTGGGATGAGGAAAAGTGAAATTATTACAAATATGTATATGTGTGAGTTAGTCTTTGTAATGATGGAAAGATTATACAGTGCACTGTATAGTCACAAAATAACTATGCAGAGTATGAAGAATTCATTAGGATGTAGTATCTTGCTCTCTAAAGAATGGAGTTTCTTTCAAAAATGTATTCTGTATTCACTTACAAGTGGTAACTGTGAGGACTGACATTGAATGTGAATTTTTTCCTTACTATCCACTGTTTACTAGTTTAATTTTTTAACATAAAGGTAGTGATTTTGGAGTTGCTGAAACATATTTCCCGGTGGAACAACTGTTAGCAGCTAGATAAGGCTTTCAGATATTTTCTTTTGCATCTAGTCTTAGAGACCCCATGCATAGTTTAGTTGTGTTACCATCTTGTTGTCACACACCCTGTCTCCTTCCTAAGCTGTCATTATGTAACTGCAGTATATTACCACATTCTTTAGTCTATCCTGAGATCTTTCTACTCTCCTAAATGATTTATTTCGGTTTGTTGTTGTTTTCTTTGTTTTTTGTTTTTGTTTTGTTGTTGTTGTTTGGGGGGGGGAATAGGGAGAGAAGGTTTGAGACAGAGTTTTTCTGTATAGCTTTGGCTGGCCTGGAACTTACTCTGTAGAACAGAACTCATAGATATCAGTCTACCTTTGTCCTTAGAGTGTTTCTGAATTTTCTCCACCTAATGATATTTCTTAATTATTAGTATTTACTTTTTTTCCCTGTGTGTAATTCCATGTTCTTGATAATTGTTCAGTTTCTTGTTTTCTTCATCACAGTATCATGAAGAATGAAAAAATTACATTCCATGTAACACATTTTTTTCAGAAGATGTTATATAAATAGTAAATCTAAACATACAGCACTATTGCATAGATCATGAATTAAGTTAATGCCATATGCTAACATATTTCTGTGCTGCTGTATATAGAATGAAAGCACCAGAAATATTTTTATTTTGTAATACAACTGTGGTTACTAACACTAAGACAATTTTTAGATAGTATAGATTAGATAGATATCTAGATATAGTTGACTGACTGCTTTTAGTGGTTTTTCTTCTACTAAAAGTCATTTAAAAATTTAAAAAATTTTAAAGAGAAAATAATTTAGGGGGCTGGAGAGATGGCTCAGAGGCTAAGAGCACTGGCTGCTCTTCCAGAGATCATGAGTTCAATTCCCAGCAACCATGTGGTAGCTCACATCCATCTATAATGAGATCTGGTGCCTTCTACTGGCATGCAGGCATACATGAAGGCAGAACATTATAATAAATAAATTTTTTTTTTTAAAAAAAGGAAATAATTTAAAAACTATTTCAGATCTTAATCCCCAATAGCTTCTTTTTCTTTCCTCAGATTTCCTCTCCTGATTTTATGGTATTAGATGTTCTTTTGGTACTCTGCTTTCACACTTATAACAGTTACTCACTGTATTATAAAACTATTTTCTTTATATACCAGATCTAGACATCCATGATTGTACTATGTAGCACTGTTATATTATTTGTTTCTTGTGACACCAAGTTGATGAGTAATGCTGCAGCATTTTAATATTTGTAAAAAGCAGAGGCATAAAATACGGGGTGTTTTGTTTCACCATGAGTCATATGAATATCAGCCATGTTTAGGCTTCCCTTGTAAGTTGGAAATAATGTTTTATTTTTAAATAGCAATTGTAATTTTTTTTTATTTATTTATAGTTTCTCAAGCAAGACCTCCTCCAAATCAGAAGAAAGGTATGATTGTGCCTTTGATTTACTTTATCAGGTAAATGTGGGTAAACTAGGTTGCAAAATCAGGGCTAATATTCTTGTATATTATGTATGTTGAGTGGTATTTTTGCTTGGCAGTAAATAAGCCACATGAGTTATTAAATATTTTTTTTATATTTTAGACATATTCCTTTTTTAATTTTTTCTTTTTTTTATTAATTACACTTTATTCATTTTGTATCCCCCCATAAGCCCCTCCCTCCTCCCCTCCCGATCCCACCCTCCCTCCCCTTTCTGCATGCATGTCACTCCCCAAGTCCACTGATAGGGGAGGTTCTCCTCTTCTTTCTGATCTTAGTCTATCAGTTCTCATCAAATGTGGCTGCATTGTCCTCTACTGTCGCCTGATAAGGCTGCTCCTCCCTCAGGGGGAAGTGATCAACGAGCAGGCCAATCAGATTATGTCAGAGGCAGTCCCTCTTCCCATTACTATGTAACCCACTTGGACACTGAACTGCCATGGGCTACACCTGTGCAGGGGTTCCAGGTCATCTCCACGAATAGTCCTTGGTTGGAGTATGAGTCTCTGGGAAGTTCCCTGTGTTCAAATTATCTTGTTCTGTTGCTCTCCTTGTGGAGTTCCCGTCCCCTCCAGCTCTTACTATTTCCCACTTCTTACATAGAATTCATTCACTCTGCCCATCAGTTGGCCATCAGGCTCAGCATCTGCTTTGACAGTCTATACTGCAGAAGCTTTCAGAGGCCCTCTGTGGTAGGTTTCAAGGTTGTTTCCTGTTTTCTTCTGGCTTTCAGAGGCCCTCTGTAGCAGGTTCCGAGGTTGTTTCCTATTTTCTTTTTCTTGCCATTTTCTTTTTTTTTTTTTTTGCCATTATTGCTAATTTAAAATAATTTAGTTTAAAATAATTAAGGTTATAAATTTTAAAATTATTTTAATATCAAAAGTAATTTCAACAACAACAACAACAGTAACAATAATAATAATAATAATGGTGATGATTCTATTTTTATCTTAATTTTTTTTTTTTCTTTACAGGGTCACGAACACCCATTATTATTATTCCTGCAGCTACCACTTCTCTAATAACTATGCTTAATGCAAAAGACCTTCTACAAGACCTGAAGTACGTAATTTATAGATTTTGTTGTAATTTGTTTGTTTGTTTTCAAGACAGGGTTTCTCTGTGTGGCCTTGGCTGTCCTGGAATTTACTCCAGGCTGGCCTCGCCTCTGCCCCACTACCACTGCTAATTTATATTCTTTCTTTCTTTCTTTCTTTCTTTCTTTCTTTCTTTCTTTCTTTCTTTCTTTCTTTCTTTCTTTCTTTCTTTCTTAAATAATTAGTTATACTTGTTCTTTATGAGACACTGATGTTAATATGTAGTTTTAATTTTTTTTTAATATTATATAATTATATCAGTTTCCCCTTCCCTTTCTTCCCTCTAAACCCTCCTATGGTACTAGAATTTTTTTTTTTTTTTTTTTTTAAAAAAAAAATTTTCTCCATATACTAAATTCTGTTTATTTTTTCCTCTTCCTAAACTCTTCCCAGGTTCCACATCCCTTCCCACTCACCCAATTTCATGATTTTCTCTCCAACTTCCTCCCACTTCCCCTCTCTGTCTAGCAAACAAAGAAATAAACAAAGCCCTACACAAAAATGGAAACCAGAATATACAAGTAAAGACCAGTAAGACAAAAATGCCTAAATAAAGCAAAATGATCCAAAAAGTGTATAAATTCCATTCTACTTATTGAGAGGGGACCTACCCTGATGTGTCGTTAATATACCCAGCAAGACTCCATTGGAGAAAATGAATTTTTCTATGCCAGTAGGTATCAATTGCAGGTAGCTTCTTGTTTAGGGGTAGAAGCATATATCTGCTTTCCCCCTCAGCATTGGGGCCGTTCTTTCTAGCTTTAACATGTGCAAACCCTGTGTTTGCTGCAGTGGTTTTTGTGATTTTATTTGAGTACCAGAAATGTTGTGTATGAAAGACAAGTTTCTTGGCGTCATCCATCACCTAGACTCTCAGTCTTTCTATATGCCCTCTTCCACATTCACATTCATCACTGACCTCTAAGGGGACAGGTATGATGAAGACATCCCATTTTTGACTCAGTGTTTCAATGTCTCACTCTCTGAACAGTGTCCAGCTGTGGGTCTCTCTGTTAGTTCCCATTTACTGCAAAAAGAAGTGTCTCTGGCGTTAGCTGAGTGAGGCACAGATCTGTGGATAGAGCAGAATGTCATCAGGAATCTATCTTAGTTGTTTCTCTGTGTGATGAAATATCATTCCCAAGGTAACTTTTAAAGTAGGCATTTAATGGGGGGGCCTTGCTTCTAGCTTTAAGATGGTGGCAGTTGGCATTCAAGCATGGCTCTGGAGTTTCAGTAGCTAAGAGCTCACTTCTTATCCCATAAGTTATAGGTAGAGAGAAAGAGTGAGACCTGGCTGTGTGGGGTCTTTTGAAACCTCAAGTCTACCTTCAGTAGACTTTTTTTTTTTTAATTTTATTTTTTTCTTATTTTATTTTATTAACATTTTATTAACTCTGTATCCCAGCCATGTCACAATCCCTCATTCCCTCCCAGTCCCTCCCTGCCTCCCTCCCTCCCTCATCTCCACCGTGCCCCTTGCCAAGTCCACTGATAGGGGGGACCTCCTCCCCATTCATCTGATCCTGTTTTATCAGGTATCTCCAGGACTGGCTGCAAAGCTCTCCTCTGTGGCCTAACAGGACTGCTCCTCCCTTGGGAGGTGGGGAGGCCAAAGAGCCAGTCATTGAGTTCCTGTTAGAAGTAGTCCTTGTTCCCCTCACTATGAGAAACCAATTGGTTACTGAGGTACCATAGGCTACATCTGAGTGTCTAGAGGTTCAGTAGACTTTTTAAGAAGGTCACATCTGCTTCAACAAGACCACACTTCCTAATCCTTTCCAAACAGTTCTAATAACTGGGACTAAGCATTCAAACATAGGAACCTATGGAGACCATTCTCATTTAAACCACCAGAGTCATTTTATTGTTATATTCTTTTAGCAGAATAGTAATTTAAGGTTTACCCATCATCTAGTCTTAGATTCTTGACGACCCTAGTAGTTTGAACTTGATTTGACTTTGATAGATCAAGAAATTTATTCACTTGTAGGTTTTCTGTTTTGTTGGAGTACAGACTTAAAAGTATTTCTGATTCTGTGGATTTCCTTGGTCTCTGTTGTAATGTACCCTCTTTCCTCTAATTTTAGTAATTTGGATCTTGTTCTCTCTGTTTCTTAGTTCATTTGGCTAAGGGTTTGTTTATCCATCTTAATGATTTTAGAACCAATGATTTAATGATTTAAAGAACCAACTTTTACTGTCATTAATTCATTGTTTTTGTTTGCTTGTTTGTTTCTATTTTATTGATTTCAGCTGAGTTGGATTATTTTTTGCTATACATACTTTTTTGTGTGTGTTATTTCTTTTTCTAGAAATTTCAGATCTGCCATTAAGTTACTAATATGAAATCTCTCAATTTTTTTAAAATGTGGGCACTTAGTGCTTTGATTTTGTCTCTTAAAACTGCCTTCTTTGTGTCACACAAGTTTTGTTATGTTGTATTTCATTTCATTCAATTCTAAAACTTTTTACATTTCTTTCATTTCTGTCTTGACATATTTTTTCCTTCAGTAGTGAGTTTAGTTTTCATGTCTTTGTGTAATTTTGCTTTTGATGTCTAGTTTAATTGATGGTGGTCAAATAGTATGGAAGGTGTTCTTTCCGTTCTTGTGTTTATGGGGACCTCTGCCTTTTAGCATCTCCTTTGGGAAGTGAGGTGTCTGCCTTATGTTATACTTGGTCTTTTTCCCTAGAAGCTTTTCATGTCCATTCTATGTTCTATACATTTAAAATTTTGTTTATTATGTGTTGTGAGGAAATTTTTGTCTGTTTGGTGTTCTGTATGCTCTTGTATATTCTATACGCTCTTGTACTTTGATAGTTTGGGGATAGTACTATAGTTTGGGGAAATTTTTGCTGGAAATATTTTGTGCCGTTGACCTGGGTTTCTTTTCTGCCCCTATTATTCATAGACTTGACTTTTTTTTTTCAGTGTCCCACATTTCTGGATGTTTTGTTCGTTCGTTCCTTCCCTCTCTCTCTCTTTTCCTTCCTTTATTTTCTTTCTTTCTTTCTTTCTTTCTTTCTTTCTTTCTTTCTTTCTTTCTTTCTTTCTTTCTTTCTCTCTTTCATTCTTTCTCTCTTTCGTTCTTTCTCTCTTTCTCTTTCTTTCTCTTTCCTTGTGCGCCCTCTCTCTCTCTCCTTGATATAACATTTTCTTTGAGGTAACCATTTTTTTGTTTAACATACTAGCTTTTCTGTCTTGAACTGTGTTCATCATTTCATTCACCTTTTTTTTTTTTCCCCTACAGGCTTTATTAAGCGATTTATTCTCTTTAAGAACCTTAAAGAGAATTTTATCCTCTTTAAGAACCTTGAGTATATTTATACTTGCTATGCTGAAATATTTGCCTTGTGCTCCAGCTAGATTGTATTTCTCAAGGCCTACTGTAATAGGATTTCTGGCTTCTGATAGAAGCTTATTGACTTGACTGTTCATGTGTGTCTTTTTGTGCTTATGTCTAGGCACCTGGAATTCCGATGTTTGAGATGTTTTTTGGTGCTGATATCTGGTCTTGTCTTTGTTGGGTGTGTGTTCCATTCTCTGGCTGATGTTGTCCTTCTTGGATCCTAGGCAAGTTG